TACAATACTTATACATACATACACACGATACACGTCTCAGCTCTCGACGCGCCGCAACAACCCGCAACAACTCTCACTTACTATAATACATTCTCTCCTCACCTTCTCTTTCTCTTCTTGTGATACCTCTTAGTCCGGTAGGCGCTCAGCTCGATGCAGATCTAGCTGGTGCGACTGCTGTTACTACCTCGAAACCTTTGTTTCCCTAGTAGAAACAAACAACCACACCATGCAGCTTGCGATAGCCACTTCCTCTACTCCAGTCGTCCGTCTCGCTCAGTCTTCCGGTTTGATCGTTCGTGAAACTTTGGTTACTAGCACTCACATCTAGAAACCTCCCTTCTTTTTCGACTTTTCGGCAGCCTCATAGCAATAATATATGTTGTTGTGAAGCCTCGTACTCGATAAGATTTCACGATCTGTTTCTCGGTATAACGATCTAATCGGTTGACTTTGCTTAACGGGCGACTGGAGGTTTTAGTCTTGAAGACCTTGACCTCTTACGTTCTCCAAGATGATGTGCAGCGAACATGATTCGCTGGATTTTATCAATTCCTCCCTCAATGGGCCCTATAATTCCTCAATAGCCTCTTCCGCCTCCTCGTCTTCGGCCTCGGTCTGGTCCGAAACTTCATCCCAGGCCTCCGACGACACCTCCATCTCCATATGTACTTCTGACGCGTCGGAACGATGCGATTCTTATGCTTATATTCGGCGATCTATGCCGTCTCAATCTGATGTTTTATGTAACCAGATTTTGCCTACTACCTGTTGGAGAGGACAACCGCAACAAGCCGAAGTCCCACAAGAACTACGGCAGAATCCGCGCCGCACCAGTAGCAGTGCGACATCTAGAACCGGATGCCCTCCACCCCTAACTCGCCAAAGCGATCGGAAGGTCAACTTTGTCGATAGCCTCGTCGGTAAGCAGTAACGATGTATCCCCCAATCCCATATTCTCGCGCTCAACCCCCCACTTTAGATTCATCGACACAGATAGTTGAAGCAATTTGGCCACTGTCTTCCGTTTTTCACCGGCAAGAACTCGGCAACAAGGCCGTTCTGCCGCTACGTACTTTTATCCAAGAAACGTTGCGCCGCTCACGTACGAGCTATTCTACGTTGCAAGTTGCGCTGTATTATTTAATACTGATTAAGCCACATGTTCCTAAGCACGATTTTACCATGGAGCAACCCGACGAAGTTCATGCGAACCGGGTACTCCAGTGTGGTCGCCGAATGTTCCTTGCTGCTCTGATTCTTGCTTCCAAGTATTTACAAGACCGAAATTATTCGGCACGAGCTTGGAGCAAAATATCGGGGCTTGCGACGCAAGAGATCAACCAAAATGAAATGGCATTTTTAATTGCCGTAAAATGGAAGCTCCACATCACTGATGATGTCTTCAAACGTTGGACCGAAATTGTACTAAGGTACACGCCACCGCAACCTCCATCCGGGTCTGTTTGTTCCCAGATCTCAGACCAACAGAACCAAGATTGGAAGAATTTGATCCTCAGTCTCGAACCGGGATTGGGCAACATCGAAGATCTTATCCCGCTAAGTCCTTTAGTAACGAAGACTCGAGACTCGACGCCAATCCCGCCTTTATCGAGCCTTTGCGCCCAGGTAGACAAACTAACCTACACGAGTGACCCATCGACGCCGAAGACTTACAACATACCGTACGTCATGGAGCCCGCACCGGCTACTGTACATACTCCGGGTCGTCTCGCTCCCGCTCTAGGTTTACTTCCCACTCCTCGTCTAACACCACAGCCCACCGGGTTCAGCACTCCCGCTGCGAGTGCTGCCACTTGTCTTCTTAGTAGTAAGGGCTCAATGGGTTTTGCTATGGCACAGGCTGCGAATGTAACTGCTTCGCAAAACTTAGATAGGTGGCCTGGGTCTCTCAGTTCCTCACCTCTAAGTTACGTTTCCACACGTCGTTCCTCGCTTGCTAATTCTATTTCAACGGCATCTTCGCCGGAATCGATGATCTCTGACTCGTCACGAACGTCTCGCTCATCCTCGATCTCATCAGCTTCGTCCTTGGCTAGCGCGCCGTCCACCAAATTGGATGTTCAGGCGCGATGCCGATACGCGAAGCTGTGCAGTGAAAGGTACAGCTTAAGACCAGTCATCGCTTCGGTGCCCGAAGACTACGAAGAGAATTGCATTACATCCTCTCCCGAATCTTACACCGGCCCGGTTAGTAAGGATTTGGTACAAATGTCATTGGAGACTCCATTGGCCAGAGGATACGAATTGGACGAAACTGCGAATGCAGCTCGGGCTCTACAACAGCTTCAGAACCAGCTTCAAAACCACCGCCCACAGCCTCGTCCTTCCACCAAGCTTGGTGCGAAGCGTAGCCGACCGTTATCAATCGATAATTCGCTCCAAGAGAACGTGCGTGAAATGCTAAGCAGCCAGTATTACGAAAAGGAACGCTCGGATGTAACGGCTCGCAGCCTCCCGCCGACGGACCCAGGAAACCAACGGACGCCAGTTCTATCAAATGGGGGCAGAAAGCGGATGTGCTGCTCGTATGATGCTCGGTCGTTCATTCCCTCGATACACCCCGCAGTCGGCGGACCCGGTGGACCAGGAATGTGGGAAGGCATCTTGAATTAGGGGCCATTCGCTAAGCTACGACTTATTGCGAAGTCCGCTACAAACAACCTTTGTGACAATATCCAACTATTTTCTTTGTTCTACATCGGGAGAGGTTCGACGGTTCGTGATACCACATCCATATTTGGAAGTCACACATAGTCTATAGAGAACCCTGACGATGGCCAAAGCCCGGGCGAAAAGCTATTTTCACAATGCATGCATTTCCAGGATCACAGCATATCGGGACTGGTAAGGTGGGTAGTTGTTTGTGTACGAATGAACAAGGGAGGTGCGTTATTCTTTGTAATGGTGTTCGGGGGATAATCATAGTGGTGTTGAAGAGCAAATAATGGCTAGGCAGTGGCGGTTACAGCCGCACCCACGGGATCAAGACAGGCGACTCGAGGAATAAGGCAATGTCGGCACTACGTGCGACGTCTCGAGCCGACCGTATCATACTGGAGTATTTTTTGTCTTTTCTTGATTTATACGATCAACGATATCGTACCCGCGAACCCGCCGAACGATATTTGGCAACCGTCGAAAAGCGGGCGCCGTTTGTCATTCGACCTAGTAGCTACGAGAAGCGCACTGGCATTATAATTTCTTACCTATCTGAGCCTGAAAAGGTGTTGCGCAATCGAGTATCAAAGAACTTCGAGTACAAAGAAAAGAGCAGTTTGCTAGAGAACTTTGAGAGAACCCAACCTCGCAGATAGTATTGAAATTTCAAATAAGCTTCGAGTCGGAACAGAAGAAAAAAAAAAGCTTTTTTGATGACCATTGTTGAGTGCAAGTTTGTTTGTTTTCATCTTCGTCTTCGTGCAAGATGACACCGAGTTACTGACTGCCGAGACTTGTGAAGTGTGGATCAAAGAAAGAAAAGAACAAGACGAAATTATGCCCCGTTCCCGCTCATCCGTCACACAACAGCCACTCGTTTGACATTGGCTCGAGGTACCGAATCAGGATTTCCCATTCCCCCCCCGTTTGCTGATGTGAGGCAGGTCAAGCGTACATTAATTGCTGAATGATGGAAGTCTACCCGTGGGTCGGCCGGTGAGTCATCGTCAACAAAAAAGGAGCTGAAGCCTTTTTTTCCCCATTGGCTATTGGAACTTTTAGTTGCCGAACCAACCAATTCGACCAATCAGTGTCGCTGGACGTTTCCTAACCAGAAATAGTTAATTACTACTTGAAGCAACTTTGGACCGCCAAGGAGCCATAGTAGCCAATCAAATACCTTGGCCCTGGTATACCTTATACCTATGTAAGTTTTGTACCCTGTAATTCCAAGGCTACAGCATGACCACCATCGTGAATGGATGCGCTGGCCGTTCGCGCTGGATTATGGGGCTGCGCGAAACAGGCGAGAGGGTCAACCTATTTACAGCATGCCTGTCGGTATGTCTGCCTAGGTAGGAGTATCATTAGTAAGTTAATTACTTCGATTTCAATGCGTTGGTGCTATGGGTGTCTAGGTCCCCAACCCCTACGGCGTTTGCGGATACAAGAACTGTTGTGTTCTTGTGCTGCCTGCCTACCTACCTAACTTAGGTAGGTCCATGCCTGGCCAGGTATATAGGTAGGTATTGTACCTCTATGCATTACGAGACATTATGTACCCAAGGCATAAAAGAGGTGGTGTAATAAACCACGAAGCTGATGAACAGGGCGGATTGCTACAGAGCACGGGCTTCTTGATCAAATAATAGGCATTTAGATCCTATTCTCGATCTCATCGGCGAGACTACCTAGGCTAGGTAGATACTTACTATATCAGGTACTTCATAATTACCTGAAAGGCAAAGTAAAGTGAAAGTAGAGATATAAGCAAATGCTTACACGCGTTAATATAAGAGACTTAGCATCCCGTCCCGTCTTGAACTACGCACCCCATCAGGACTAGACCTTACATCATATACGTATAGGACAAATAGTCTACATATATGGCATGCTACCTAGGTAGTTCTATTCTTCGGCCCTCATGATATAGAACTACCTACCCAACCCCCCAACCTTCTCCCTGGCTCCGAACGCTAGGCTACACCTTCACGGAGCAGTCGGAAGTAGGTATACAGGTGTGAGTGGGACCTATCCCATCTACCCTTCCCCTGCCACCTGTCCCACCTGTAAATACACTTTGTAATTCATCCGTATGTCAAATCGAAGAGGACCTCTTGGTGCCTGGCATACGCGTTGCTGGGAACCGCGATACGTTTGCAGGGTCGACGAAGCTATCTCGGGGCGGTATTAATAAGGTGTCAGAGACGAGTGAATATCTTGCAGTGACGAACTACAGAACCTAAGTATGAATTTAGTAATGATACCTTCTATTACTTCCCAATTTTTGATTTCCTAGTCAAAGCGGTCATTGTTCTAGTAGTCAAAGGTATAGCGGATGTAGAAAAACCTCTCGGGGTCTTTTCGTAGATTTTAGATTCGAACGCATGTGCAAGGCGGCAAAAAGACTAATTTGTTCTGGACAAGTCCCGGGTTCGATTTCTAAGGTCAAGCTTTTTCTTTTCTTTTTTCATTTCATTCCACTCAGTTTATGCTTCCTTCCTGATATTTTCTTTTCCGCGCTTAACAGGAAACCTCTCAACCTCTTAATACTGGTATTCTATTAACCTCAACTATTACCTATTCAAGTACTTGTGCCGTCTGCGTAAACTCAACAACCGTATTTTAAAAAGGTTATTCCAACCCTTGTTAAAGACCACAAAAAAAAGATTATAACTACAAAGATTATGGAAATGTATCAAAGTTGGAAATTACCCCCAGGATATATAAGAAGCCTTTCTGTTCGGAATTATTTTGGAACAATATTTAATTACTGGCCTAACGCTGAATTAGAACGCAGTATCCTTTAGGGTGCAATAAGCAAGTTTACGTAGCTAGCACAAGGATGAGGTATCCGACTTACCGAACAAGTAGTTCGAACAGCTGTAGTGCTTTACTTTCTACCTTTACACAAGACGAGTACATCTATAACACTGCTATAATAGTGTATCGTCTCCGATAATTTAACAAGCGCCTCTCAGACTTTTGAGTCCCCTTTGCGCTTTTCATATTGGCTTCGGGCGTCTAGGACTGCTTGAAGGACAGACTCAAAGTTGCCATGATTCGTGTTGACAATCCATTCTCGTTTAGTTTGATCTTTCGCTAGCTCCCCCAAGAATATGTCCAGTGCTTCTTTGAAGACATCCTGGACTGGACTAAAGATGCAGCAAATTAGCTCTGAAGCTTCTTAAACACAAGATTCACTTACACTTCTGTTCCAGGCACAGTAGTATACCAGGAGCTAAAAGTCGCCATTTAAATGCAATCATGATACCTTAGGTGCTTAGAGATGGAGAATGAAAGAGGAGTATTCAACCTTAGCTGATGGTTTCCTCGGCAAAGCGTTTTAACGTCGCATTTGTGTAACATTAGGTATGCCATTTGCATGCCATCGGGCAGCAGGCTGAGCCGAAGGCAGGCTGAGTCGAAGGCAGGGGATATGATATCTCTTCAGTCTCATTCAGTCCCATTTTATCTCATTTTAGTATGAAATATATCAAAAGACTGAATACCTTCCAACGGCGAGGGAAATTACAGCGATAGAGATAACGACAAGAAGGATAGCAATTACGAGGAGAAAAACACGGAGGAAGACTGTAAGTTCAATACCATTTCAACCGACCGAACCCACGATAGCGGGTTTCAAATATTACAGGCCATACAATCCGACAGAAGGGGACAAGGGTTTAAAGATGGAAACCTCGATAAAGGGAAATCCACTGATTATACTGATTATGAGTTGCAATTGATGCTTCTCGAGCAACAAAACAAAGAAGATAGATGGCGAAAACGAAAAGGGCGAGGCTTTGGCGGGCAATATTCCAATACGAGACATAGAGTCGTACCTTGAGAGGAACCCGGAGATTTGCTTCGTTGTATACAGAGACTTTTCGGTCCCGGTCTCGAGAAAAAAGGGGGTCGATCATACCCTATCCGTACCAAAACACAACTCGGAGATGATAGAGACAACTACTACGGACCTAACTACGACTGTTACGCAATTCATGTCGTTCTATGGTTTCAGTGCAGACGCCGTGGGTGAAATAGGGAGGACAGATGCTCTAGATCACCACTTTACCGGTGCCGATGGTTCAACCGAGCCTTTAGCTACATATCCCGCCTTTTACCACGCCTCAAGACAATCCATGGATCCATTCCTCGAGTCACTAGAAAGCCCAGAGAAGCAACAGTTCCAGTTATTGCTGGATTATGTTATGTCTCATTTTGGAAATGAGTACGATGACGCCGAGGAAATAAATTGAAAACGGCAGAATCACGAACCGATACTTTCAATACCTCTTCAAACCTGGTGACGTGGTCGTGCAGAAAGAGGCCAATGAAGCTAGGGGCCTCATATGCAGTTCCTGGGTCACCGAAGAACGAATAAAAGACGGCAAAAGGAAGACGTCGGGAAAGACGTCGGGAAAGACATCGATGATACAATACACTATTGAAGCTCGCTACTGGGCTTTTGATGGTATATCGTGAGTTGCACAAGCCAGAGAAGAAACGCGATATTTCCCGGTGGACATCTTCAGACCACCCAGGGACAGATGATCTAAGTCCCGAAGCAACGAAGCGAGACTACCCGCCTTCCGACGAGTTTCTATACGTATTACCTTCGATTATCAAGGGCTTCAACCTCAAGAAGAAGAAATGGTTGGACCTAAAGGTCGACAACTTAGGCGAAGTAGTATGGAACGAGACGGCCTTTGAGAGGCTTGTTCTTGAAGACAAGACCAAGAAATTGATTCTGGCTCTCGTCAGCGACCAGGTGGAATCGACGAGGTCAACAGATCTCATAAGTGGCAAGGGGAACGGCTTGATCATGCTGCTCCACGGAGGTCCCGGCACAGGCAAGACTCTGACCGCCGAGAGTGTGGCCGAGATTGCCCGGAAGCCACTCTATCCTGTTACTTGTGGTGACATCGGAACGGAGCCGGAAGCTGTCGAGAACTATCTCGAGTCCGTTCTACATCTCGGAAAGACCTGGGGGTGTGTTGTCCTACTCGATGAAGCCGACGTATTTCTTGAACAGCGCAGTCTCCAGGACCTCCACCGGAACGCGCTGGTATCCGTGTTCCTCCGAGTGCTCGAATATTACGAGGGGATATTGGTTTTGACGAGCAATAGAGTCGGTACCTTCGACGAAGCCTTTAAGTCGCGCATCCAACTGGCTATCCACTACAACGGTCTGAGCTTTTACGAACGCTCCAAGATCTGGGGAAATTTTATCTCACGCTTACAGGACTTTAAAGAAGAGGTTGGTGCCCAGCAAATTGACTACAGACGAGCAGTTATTCCTATGACCGTTAAATGTATTTTGACAACTTTGCTAATTCTATCATACAATAGGAGATTGATGCCGATGATCTAAAAGATCACATCAAGGACTTGGCCCAGTTTGAGATGAACGGAAGAGAGATCCGCAACGCCATCACGAATGCACGGCAGTATACTCGATGGGAACGAAAGCAGCAGCAGCAGCAGCAGCAAGGTCCAGAGAATTGCAAGCTTGATTATGCGAAGATCAAGCTTATCATCGACACCGCCAGCAAGTTCGACGACTACATAAAAAAATTGAATGGAGGATATAATCACATCGCGGTAGACGAGGGGCTAAGGCTCGAAGCTTGACAGGGGAAATAATACGTCAGCCTCTTCCTGACCTTTGTTGGTTTCCCTTTCTCCTTACATACATACGAACACACCATGTCATGTTTCTTTTTTTATCCAGCAACTTCATAGGCTGTAGATCATACGCTCGCTCTCTTATCTCAGCCGCCAAGATGCCACATCACGTAAATGGGTATAAATGGGACAAAGACGCAGGGGAGGTTGCATTGGCATGCAGCAACGATCTTCCCGTTTTATTTCCATATTCCATACCTACCCTAGACACTCAGTCAGCACCAGCGTAGGGCAGAATAAATTGATTAGCGTAGGTTACGATCGTTCAATATCGCCGTCTCGTGCGGATTCTTAGACTCTTTATAATACCGTGTCTTTATTTTTCGACTCGTATAATTAGGTCACCGGGGGCCAGAATGGCAAAGACTATCATCAGCATAAATTCAATCATCTCTTCAACGTGCACATAGCTGTGCAACTAATAATTATCATGGACTCGATGAGCACGCCGGATAGGCCTTATAGGCCTCTGGCGCAGTTAAAAGGGGATACTGGACTGGAGAAGCCAGTCAATTTTATCTCGCCCATCACACCGTCGCTCGAAGTCAGAGAGTATGCGGCACCAGAGAACGAGTACGAGGAAGACAAGAAGAGAGCTCCTAGCCCCTTCCTAGCCCTCCCCGTAGAGATCCGTCTCGAGATCTTCAAGCACCTACTCGTCCTACCACCAGACGCTCCCTCTCCTTCGCAGAAGACATACTACCAATATGGACAACATCGGACGCCGTGGCCGCTGCACCCAGCAATCTTGCGCGCAAACCGACAGCTGTACGCCGAGGCGCTGCCTCTCCTATATCGGCGCAACACTTTCCTAGCGCACAACACGTTGCTCACAACGCTTCCCCGGCTGCGTCACGCCTACGGCCCCGTGCTCTCAGCGCACCTCGCCGGCCTTATAACCCGTTTTTACGTGTGCGTGCGGCTGGACGCGGAGCCGGGGTACGACCGCGCGCAGGTGGCGATGCAACTGAGTAACAAGGAGGAGATTGTTCTCGATGCATGGCAAACCGGTACGTAACCTGAACCTTGTTTCCGCTCTTCTTCCCCTTTATTCGCTCGCCTCGGGAGTTAAAACGCCTTATTTCTATTTAGAAGTTGTTACTGAATTACTGGCGCTGACTCTTGCTAATATAGTGTGGCGCGGGTCGGGCCCGGATGCTTTACGCCTGTTTGAAGACGTGCGGGGTGTACGTCGTGCAAGGGTTATTGGGAGCGTCGGCGGGTTCGAGGATTACGCGAAGTGGTTAGAGTGTGCAATGATGCGCGAGCCTGAGATTAAGGTAGAGCCCTTCTCATGGGACGCTGGTCGAGGGTCCGAAGGGACATGGTAAAAACTGAAATTATACCTATGGTTGGGTACGCCGACTGAGTAGAGATGGCCGGCATGTTCGTCTATAGCCCAATTACATGTAGTTGATACCCCGCTGGAAGTAAGTTGATAAGTTAGTATAACCTCGCTCGGATGCTCTTTGAGTCGAAAAGACAGTGTGTATCGGACTAAGTGATAGTTTGACTATTTGTGAGGTTGGGAATCTGCTCAAGGCGAGACTCATGCCTCGATGATCTATGAGGTATGCATATAACATGCAAAACCCAAAAGGGGGTTTCCCTTGTATCTCTAACTCTCTTCAAGAATCATCTTGAAAGTCATGATCCATCCTGGCCCCCTGTTTTAGCTAATTACACAAGATGCCAAACTTGGCTATGACCACTGTCTACTTTGGTCGTCTGTAGAAAAAGCAAAATACAAGAGATCCCTTCGCTATGGGTCGCAAACGCCATTTTCATGCAATCGTCTCCCAAAACCATCTCGAAGGGGAATATTAGAATTGCAAAAATGTTCTACATAATGTATCATTAGGACTGTCCACCACCAAGGAATTTCGGTATTGTCTTCCAAGCCTGTTGGTCGGGGAGTTTGACGCGGCCGAAATTCTCATCAAGGTCGAGGATGATCCTGAGGGCGTTTCGGCTGCGAGCGTGGGGTGAGGTGACATCCTTCTCTTTGATGGTATCCACGACTTCTGCGACGCCAGTGTGGACTTGTTCTGGTTTTGGTTTTCCAGGGAATGGCAAGACGCTCTGAAGAACTTCGTAGGACGCAAGTGTGAAGCCGAACTGAGGGGATGATCGAAGGATACGAGCAGGTCCACCCTTGAAGAAAGCTCGGAAGCCTTCCTCCTTCATGATTGTAACTGCTGCGTGCCGGAGGCCAGTATAGCTTGTGTCGCCTTTACGTGCTTCAACCTGCAGACGGGTCTTGATCACATCACACGGTGTGGTTAGGTAAGCAGCAGGCATACCAGCAATGGCACCAGATGTGAGAAGCTGGAGGATTCCAAGCTTCTTGGTGCGAGATTCGCCAAAGAGGTCCTTCTTGAGGTGGTTGTATGTTGGGAAGTAGATTGCCGAGAACGGCACATCGCGAAGTAAGCAAGCCGAAGCACCTTTATAAAGCCCCGCAAGACCCAAGTTCTTAACAATCCACATTGCAGAGCGCTTCGGTGCACCTTGAGTGGTTTTCGCAACCTCTCCCTGAACTTGCAGTCGAATCTTGACAATCTCGAGAGGATTGGTGAAGACCTATCAATTATATATTATATTAGTCAAGTTTAACAATGTAAGGCCCTGGGAAAAGTAGTAGGATTAAGTAAGGTAGACTCACAACTTGGCAAGCACCAGCAGTACCACCTGCTAGAAGTTCGTATCCCCAAGGAATATGATGCGTCTTTGGGTCCGTGAAAAAGCCGCGGACGAGATCATTTACTGTAAGCTTGATAGCCTTTTCCGGAGCAACACCGACTAGCTGAGGCAGGACCCCAGAGTAGAGACCGCGAAAACCCTCGTTGGCGATAACCTTTCTGAAACAGTCAACAGAATTCTTGTAAAGCCTCTGTCCTGGATCAGCACCTCGTTGGTTCTGCATGCGGGTCTTGACTAGATCAATAGGATACACCATAAAGGCGCCAAAAGCACCAGCCCCACTTCCCAAGAGAAAGTTGTAGCCAGATTCAGCAGCTTGTAAGAGGAAGCTTTGCGTATTGCTCTTGGCCTTTTGCGATCCTAGACCATGCTGAGTCTGTTCCGCGATATTACGATATCTCCATAATGGATCTAGAACCTTGGCAAAGTCGATCAAACTCAATCGGCCAGACGGTTCATCCAAACTAGCGAAGTGGAAGAGGATATCAGCCTCCATCGGGGTGAACAAGGAGAACCGAGTGATTTTTGCTGCCTCGTTCAAGAACTCAGATCTGGTAATCTTCCCATCGCCGCTCTTCTTGCAAGCTTGACGTATAATTAACTCCACCAAGTCCATCTCCATGATCACGTTCTGAAAAGCTCGAACATTTGCGTATGAAATCCTGCTGCCGGTGGATATGTTGCAGAGGGAGGTAAGGTTGTCTAGGAGATGATCGGACAATTTGTGTTTTGCCGTCTCCAGGATGATTCTTGCAAAGTCTTCAGGGTCGATGTATCCATCTCTGTCCTTATCAAGAAGTTGGAAGGCTTGTCTGATTCTCTCACCCTGAAGACCACGGAGCATTTGTGAGAACTCAGAGTATGAAAGGGTATGGCGCTTGGATTTGTCACCAATGTAGAGCTTCGCCCACTCGCAGTCCCAGTTGAAGGGAATGCTGTCAGGGCCTTTGTTGTTTTCATATAGACGCCGAAAGTCCTCATACTTAACACTCCCAGTGCGGCCAACATCAAAGAGGCGGAATGCAATCTCATACTCGGCGTCGGGCTTCATCAACAGGTTCTCAAAGGCGGCCCAGTCGTTAATCATCACTTTACCGGCATCTTTGCGATCGGCGACGCGGAAGAGGAGTCCGTATTGATCACGGCTAATCTTGTGCTATAGAGAAGAGCAATAGATTAGCAATTGAGAGTTGGCTACCAGCCTAGAATATTTCTAAGAGCTCACGTAGTCTTCACTCGGCGGCGCAATAGCCTCAATGAACTCCTCTGGTCCCATATACAGCTCTCCTGTATGCTCATCCTTCTTGGCATTCTTTAGGAATAGGGCACGGTGAGATGCGGAAAGGTTGAAGGGCTCTGAGGAGCCGAGGAGGGTCTCTTTGACCGCCTCCTTCACAATTATAGTTTTGGACATTTTGCCGGTAGTTGGTAGTTGGTAGTTGGTTTGCGACACAAAAGGCACACCTCTCGGTGGTGGCAAAGCACTTAACCAAGGAATAAGACCAAGGAATAAGGAAGAATGTGGCTTATCGATTAGCGCGCGGGATTGGCAGATTGGCCAAGTCTAAGTAATAAAAAGTAATAATTCACGATTGTCGATTGTGGAGCGCCGATGTAAGGAGCGGACGGCACACAATCCGGAGAACCTGGGGTTCGGACAGGCGGAAGTATTAAAATAAAATAACGAAGGTGAAAGAAACGACGGAGAGAAACGTAAACATCGACGAGGAACGCAGTTAATTGGTATGAGGTCGAGGAGGACGAGGTAATTTTGCCGCAACAATGTGAGAATTGCAGTGTCGTCTAGGGAAAAAAAAAAAGTTCGCAGAGTGATTTAATTTTTCTAGATGGCGCGTGAGATCTGCGAACACGGGGGTAGTTACCAGTGGACAAACGTGGGTAGCATGACTAGCCGCACCTGCCCCAAAACTTAAATTTAGGTGCTTTAGGTGTTGTTCCTGACCGTAACTTCAGGTACCTAAGTATGGTCGTGACCGGCTCGGATTGCCGCTGTAGGTAAATTCCGGTCCTGCATGTAAGTTCTTATTCGCTTCATTGTTCCTCCGATCGATAAGACATGTCCAAGGGTGCTTATCGCCGAAACTCTCCTAATATCCTTCTGCCCTACGGCAGCGCTAAAGCTGATTTCAGTTAGGTCTTCTTAGTCCCGCATCTTACAAAAAATGCACCAAGCCGAGAGAAGGCAAAGAAGGATTCTCTGCCTTCATTATCCATGGCAGCTTATGGACAGAGTTTCGTTCCTGAAGATCACCCCTAGTTCCCCAGAAACCTCCTCTGGCCCGATCGAATGAGCGTGTTGCTTCTAATGGGGTCGGCGCCATAGTGAGCCTTCGGATCTAAGGATGAGTTCAAGTTTGTTGGGTGACATGTTAAGAATAAGTTAACTATCGCGAATTACCCCGTGGGAATCCAGTACGCAAACATGCCTTAGTGTGGTTTGCTGTATTGACTGTAGAAAGCTGTAAGATAGATTTCCGACCGAACGACATGTTCGACTGGATATATATACAAGATTTATTGATTGATTAAATAAGCCGGGGCTGATGTCAATCTTTCCTATGATAGTCGATGGAAAATTGTCAGTTATGCATTTCATACAATAGTTTGTTGAGTACTTATGGAGCTTAAACCCGTTGGGAGAAGAGCGCTGCCAGCAGCCTCCGAAATAAATCTCAATAATCCAATAATCCCCGCACACCTTTTCTCGTTGAATATATCGGACTCTATATCGGACACGGTGAAGTCTCTGGGGCGGGATAAAAAAAAAAAGGAGGTAAACTCACCAGGACAAGATATTAAACCATGCGTAGTGATATTTCGCAGCTTCTCCTCAACCGGTCCAGTTTCTAAAGAATTAAATTTAAGGAACTTGCTGTTTTCAATGCCACGCGGCTGGTTCCCTGGTTCATATATCAAACCGCCTATGTTACATTTCCCAAGAACCTCTTGGCGGGGGACCCCGTGTGTCCTCGGCAAAATACAACCGTCCCCAAGTCTGACGAGCAACGCATATTACATATGATGTGCATACGATCCTCGAGCGGTTAACGGCAAATTAGCCATAGCATATAGCACTGTATAAGGTGATTTAATATATACACAACGGCATATACCTGTAAAACGTAGTCGTCAATTCGGTTATGACCTACGAGTGGATGAACCCCCCTTTTCTTATTTTAGAAAGCTTCGTTAGCTGACATGTGAACGGAAATAACGATTTAGAGGGGAAATATGTAGGTGAGCGGCAGTACAATCCGATAAGATCGTCGTTGGGCTTTTCGATCCATTCGACAGTGCATATATCACATGAGATAGGTAAATATTCTTAGACGTAGTATACAACATGTCTGGAATATTTTAACTTGGTTTATAAAGCAGGCCGCAACTTATTGAACCAATGACTTACAGCTGCCATAGCTGTACTTCGGCCAAAATCTAATTAATATAATTTCAGACAACAAATTCCTTTGCATATAAACATAGACATCCCGAAAAGTCAACTAAGTGAGAACTGAAAGTCTTATAGTTACAACTAGTTTCAAAGTGCCTATTACGTAATAGTTCAATTCTTATAACAGCCTTCAACTACTGAACGCAAGTAGCTCACACAGGTAATACCGCTTATAAATAGGCATCCATCATCTATATGGGGATTTCTAATATGAAAAGAGTGATCCCTGATGAGAAAGTTTGGGCCCATAGATGCTAACTTTAAGAGTTTGATAGCATAGGTAGTTAGTTATCCATATTGATTCTATTTTTATTTTGGTATGACGGTCAAACAAATCCTGGCCGTTGTGTTTCGTATAGCCCTATCCTCTGATCTAGAAGGAAGCGAGGAAATTATATCTAAAGACTTCCATAGTATATTATAACCTAAGGTAGTTGTAAAATATCGAATAGTACGTTATTTTCAAGTGACACTGCAGATAAGCTACATCTGTACCTAATGTTTGCAGATTGTACCGCCAAATCTGCAGTGATTGCCCAACCCCGCCCTTCTCCTCCTAAGCCACCGAGTTCATGCTATGACTGAGCCTTGTACTTTCAACCCTCTTCTGTATCCGACTTCTTTAACCTGGTACAACGAGGACAGCTCTAGGAGAGAGTATGGCTACCCGTGTACAAATCTATAAGTTAGGCGTTAAGCCACTATTTGATAATCTATCCGAAAAAGAAAAGCTTTATAGTCACTACCTATCAAGGTCAATGAGTCTCAATATTCACTTCATCCAACGGTATGCATATTATTGATACTAACGGTCAATCCTAGGGCAGCATGGTCTGGAACAAGAATCATTCTTAGCCAGGTTTCCCCGGAATCTATTGGGATATTTGAATTCATAATGGAGCTTTATAGATCATGCGGTGGCGACTGGAATCAATTTTCAGAAGACTATGGAGTAGCTGTAGAGGACCTTGAAGCATTTCTCGAATTTGCAGCTACTTTCCTGTCGAACATCGGGAACTACTATGTAGGTTGTTCCCAAATATCTCAATGAGTATATAAGAACTAACTTCTTGAAGGGGTCAGGAGACCAGAAGTTCATTCCACAGCTACGCTCCGGTACAGTAGAGAAATTTGCCTCTCGATCATCCAAGCTCTTAGACCTCTATAGGAACATAGAGGGCTCTATCATGGCAATACCGCCTGTCACCCTTGGATATCCCGGCACCTTAGCCCAAAGCTCTTATTATCCAGGAGACTTAATGAGCAAAGAAGAAATCGCTCTCGTTTCGAGGCATATGGATGCCCATTCCGTACTACCCGAAAATACCAGAGTACGGAAAACTGGTGAAACTTCATTTGAGGTCCTTCAGGCTTCAATCATATCAACGGACCAAACAGAGCCCTTAGACATTACGAACTCATCCGCTAGCGTAAGGCTGGTCCGTGGTGATCATGCCGAATACCTAGAGAATATTTGCGAAAACCTGGCAAGAGCTACGGAGTACGCTGCGAATGATACCCAGAAGAAATTCCTAGCTCAATACATCGAAAGCTTCCAAACTGGCAACCTTGAAGCGTATCGGGAATCTCAACGGACGTGGATTACGGATAAAGCACCCAAAGTTGAGAATATTTTCGGCTTTGTGGAGCCATATCGAGATCCAGCTGGTATTCGTGCCGAGTTTGAAGGCTTGGTTGCCATCGCGGATGCCAATGAGACAAAGCTCTTGTCAACATTAGTCGGGAACTCCGATAAATTCATTCGACGACTACCTTGGGCTGCCGCCGAGAATAATGGAAAGGGGCTATTCGAAAAGTCTCTCTTTGAACCGCCTGATTTCTCCAGCATCCATGGTAGGAATCATCTGCTTTTACACTTGGTGATGTTGGAGTCTAACAGCTACAGCCCTCGCATACTGTTCTAGTATAATTTTCCCTGGAATCAACCTTCCAAATGTGGGCTTTTCCTCACCAGTTTCTAGTCCATATTCACTCACGCTTCAATTTTGAACAGTATAACGACATCCGTCAAGATGTAGGATTTAAGAACGTCATCATCGCAAATCGTATGATAGCTGAAAGTACCGCGATGCAATGGCCGTTCATCGACGACTCTGAAATTGAGGTTTTTCGGAAGCACAAGTACCCAGCGTACTATTGGTGGGTTGTGCTTCATGAGCTACTAGGCCACGGCACAGGTAAGATGATGATTGAAGAGTCGACTAACAAGTTCAACTTTGACTCCAAGAACCCGCCGATCAACCCTCTTGACGGGAAACCTATAAGAACTTGGTACAAACCTGGCCAAACATGGACTGGCCAATTTGGCGACTTGGCAACAACACTAGATGAGTGTAGAGCCGAGCTTGTAGGGGCTTATCTTATGGATGATCCAGAGCTGCTGGCTCTCTTCGGCTTCACAGATGAATCGGATATTCGATCCAGCGATTGTAGCTATACCCATACCTGCGGTTTCTACGTTAACCACTAATATCATCAAGTGACCTATAATCTCTATCAGCAGCTCGGTGTTGATGGTCTTCGAGCTCTCTCCAATTATAATGTCGATGGCATGGTGAGTTATCAATGCAGCAGAGAAGTATTTCGTTAACTTGACTTTGTAGAAATGGTGACAGGCTCATAGTCGGGTATGAGGACAGTTGAATTTTGGTCTTAGGAGAATGCTAATAAGTCGCAGGCTCAGTTCGCTATACTTAAATGCTTGCTCCGGTTCGGTCATGGATGTATCGATGTTCATCACGACATGGCTGGCAAGAAACTCAGAGTACTAGTCGATAGATCAATGATAGTAAGTCATGGAAAGAAGGCGCTTGGCGAGATGCTATTGCGCCTTCACGTATATCGTTGTGCTGCCGATGTTGAAGAGTGTAGGGAATATTATGAAGAACTATCCCATGTAGACCAAGAGTCTCTAAGGTGGAGGGAAACGGTTGTTGGAAATAAACCACCTCCGTTATTGAATGTACAGGCCAATACGTTTATTGGGGAAGGAATGGTTATGTTGAGGGAATATGAACCCACCATCGAGGGTATCATTCAAAGTTGGTATGAGCGTGGGGTTTAATTCAATGTGGAAGAGCAACGAGTAAAGATAATATTATCGTGAATATGTCACGAGCCAGCTTGCCGCAGATCTATTGCTAGCTGTGTAATTTGAAGTACAACCTGAAGAAACGCGAGGATCAAACCTAGTCCACCAATAATAATGACTGCCCAAAATGTCAACCATGATGCTGAATCGCGAGTGTCTAACCATAACTCTTTCCAGGACCGAGGCTTCCTATCGTCTAGATACATACTTAGAGCGACGAGCTGTGCTCTCAGATGTGGAAAATCTCGTGCTAGTTCATAACTATCACGCTCTTTAACCCCTGACAGTAAATCCAATCGCTTTTTTCCGCAGACCTCTAAGAGGAATCTGTCATGGCTATTCTTCGGTATGTGTTCAAAAGGACGCAACTTTCGAAAGGCTTTTCGCGATTTACGTTCTTGTCCGAATAAGAGTCTGTAGGAAATAAGGACCTCTCTGAGTAGTTCCGTCACATCCTGTGGTGTTGCCCAGTGGTTATTGTTAGGGAAGTCCGAAGTGCAAGAATGAATCGTAGATCGACCGCTACCTCTTGCCGATTGGCCGCCAAGGCTTTCCACACAGAACGATGGATAGCGAAATACATATAGAACGCGTGCATTCTTGTCGAGTTCTAGATGACAAGCCAAGCAGTCGGACCAACTTATAGTGATGCCGCCAATGGTTGTCAAGAGATATGCGTTCAAAGTTGAAGATTTAACAGACTTTAGTCGATTGAATGCCTTGGCCTCCTCAGCGTCCTCAAGAGTATTATAATTTCGCGGAATGAGCATTAAACCGAACCCTAAAAGAAACTCGGAGAGTCCTTTACTCTTGCAGACGCGGAATTGCTTGAGGCAGAGATGGCAGCTACTTCTGTGACCATTCATTTCGTCTGTAATGCAAAATTCGGATGGCGGGCAGGATAATATATCAGGTCGATAAAGCATAGTTTGCCAGCCGATAATCGAGAAAATCAAGTCAGTAGCTGACCTGAGTTGCCGGTCTTCTGATACAATGATACTACCAACCTCTGACAGCTGTTGAACTATGTCGTCGATACTTAAGGCCGCGTTGTTGGTAACTATCTCTGAAACTTTTAAGTAGATTGACTTTATTTCATTGAATGGGATATCTTCGGATTCGTCAACAAACCCCCGAACACAAGCATATAGCTGTATAGGTTGTTGGTAAACTTGGGTTCGAAGCCACCAGTAATACCATGGTAAGATACCCAGGTAGTGTGTGCTTCGAAATGCATCTTTGTCGCCGGCCGTTTGAACCATATTCTTAAGCCTAAAACAAGGATGAAAGTATAGCGCGAGGAAATATAATTACCTAGGTAGAAAGAGACGATCGCAAGATTACAAGTCGGTCTTGCAGATAATTCAGTTTACATGGAAAACTCGCCCGGGCTTTAGAAATGCAAATGCGGAAATGCGCACCTAACGTAAGGAAGACATTAAAGCCTCAGTAAAAAGTAATTATTAATTATTAATAGCTGAGTAGCAACTCTGGGGGCGGCTAATAGAGGTGTTCGGGAGCTGTTGGCTGCATCTGGTTGTCTCATGTCAAGTCTCCAATTGGTAGACATACCTCCCTACCTAGGTTGGTATCTAGGTACATACCTGGGTATGAAGTACGGAGTTGTGAGCCAGCCACTGCGATTCCAGTCCTGTAGGCTGGCTTCATTATGGCCCCTAGGTATGGCTCACTACCGTAGTGATAGAGGCGTTGAAGCTTGGTCACATAAAACCGGACAATATTACATGTAGACTTGTGCAGTACTCCTCCAATAGATGCCTTACTTGTAACTCTCACCGAGAGATAAGCGCCGAACGAGTATATGCGGTCACCACACAGCATACCTAGGCAAGTACCTTAGGTTTAGGTGCTTTATGATATATCACTTGGCGTTGGTGTATTATATTGTACAAGCCCTGTAGCTGAAACCCCGCATGGGTAGGTGTCATCGTTATCAATTTATTCCTCTCTTCTAGGTAATAAGTGTTTACTATATGAATCGGCTTCTATTGAAATAATCAATTGGCTTCAGCAAATCGTTAGCAAGATGGAGAAGTAAGTGTAATTATGTAGAGCGAGTCATCCATGTCTAAGAGACTAACCAAGAAAAGGCCAACTGAAAGTAGAAGTCCTCTGTGGCATCGAGCATTAGAAAGATATCGGGAAGAACTGGGAGGTAACGAAGATTATCGAGCGGTACATGAAGTACACTCTCTTGATGACCTCTTAAGTCATGTAAACACTCTCCAGACTACGCCATCTCGAGACAGGCAGGCGTTGGCGTCTATGAACAGACTTGCACCGAAGTTCAAATTCGTAGACGACTTCTCGGCTATCATTGCGCTAGCATTCGGAGCAGATGCGACATTAACGGCAGTGGTGTGGGGGAGTATTCGCCTTATACTAACATTAGCTTCCTCAGCAGGAGATACTCTTCAGGAGGTATTGGACATACTGGAAGAGCTCAGTTTGACCTTGCCGAGGTTTCGGGTTTACGAAGATACCTTGCCGATGAGTCGCCAGCTCGAGACCGCCCTGATCGACGTATATACGGAAGTTATATGCTTCTATGCAAGGACCATACATTTCTTTCGAGACCATCCCCACGTCCTATTACGACGGAATGCATGGGAGAAATTCCATACCGACTTCTCAAGGACGACTATGCGTATCAAAAGAATCTCTTCTATCGTTGAAAGTGAGGCCGACCTTGCCCGTATGAGGCTAGATGAGCACAAATACAAGGAGGTAATTGAATTGATGGATAATTTTACTATTAAAAGTGATGAAGGTTAACAAATTAAATACCATCATATCTTGTTTCTATAAAATAGTAGATTTTCAGGTCGTTCAACACTCCTTTCCACACTCCATAATGCTCTCAATCCCGGACAAGCACCATCTTCGACTAAGTCAGTAGCATTATTTGGCATGGGCGGAGTTGGAAAGACACAGGTGGCATTAGAATATGCCCACCAAAACGTAGGTATATACGATGTTATCCTTTGGGTACGGGCTGATAATATCATCACGCTTGGGCAAAGTTTTCGAGATATTGCCCTTGGCCTGCAACTTTACCAAGATTCAGATAAGATAAAAGACTCGGCAGCAGCAATTTGGAAAGTCAAGAATTGGCTAAATAATGCATGTATGTTGCTGTGGCTTTGCACCTAGTTCATGAACCAGAAGCTGATAAAAATTATAAGCACTCCACTGGTTAATAGTGTTCGACAATGCTGATGATCTACAAGCCATTAAGATAGCGTGGCCTGGGAGTTCTCGTGGCTCAATACTTCTAACGACTAGAGACTTCGATGTTGCAAACAATCCCGCAGCTCAGTGTTTACAGGTGGAATCATTTGACGATACCGAAGGCTCTCTGATGTTGTTACGACAAATTGGACTAGATTCGTCTGTTGCAGAGAACATAGAATATGCGACCGTGATCACTCAAACCCTTGGTGGCTTGCCCCTTGCCCTAAGTCAGATTGGCGGCTTCATAGCACAGAGAAGATTGGGATTGAAAGATTTCCTTTCCCTCTACGAGCGCAATGCCACAAAGATCGATGCGAGAAAGACTATCAAAGATGACTACGAGCACACCTTAAATACCGTCTGGGACCTGTCCTTTCAGAAGCTCCCCAGCAATTCTACTAGATTATTAAATATGCTGGTTTTCTTCGATCCGGACGCGATAGACGAAGCCATATTTCTGGAAGGATCACAGACAGAGTTCGGAATTGAAGAAGATTTTGGCTTTGTGGCAGACGAGATGGAGTAAGTTCACATAACATAGACTTGTCTTTCGCCTAAATAATCCCCTTTAAGTGCTAACTAGAGCAGCCTCGGAGATGCGGAACAGTCCCTATTACAGGCTGCGTTGATCAACAAGACGATGGATCAGCCAGTACTTACTGTGCACCGGCTAGTCCAGTCTGCCGCTATTCGCAGAGTGCCAAATTCAGACCGGCCAAGATACTTCGATGCAGTGATTCAACTCCTCTCCTGGGGCTTTCCTGATACTTGGAGTAGAGATGTAGGTCATCAAATAAATGCCTGGAAGAAATGCGAAAAGTGCCTACCACATATCGGGCATATTGCTAGACTATCCAAGAAACACGATATTCAGCCAAGGAATGCACAGCAATATGCAGAGCTCCTCCTCCGTTGCAGTTGGTAAGTAGCTACTTATCCAATGCTACCTTACCAAAACGAAGGCTAAACGAATCGCAGGTATCTTTATGAGCGTGAAACCTATGATGTCGCGCGAAGTCTAGTAGATGCTGCTGTTCAGACGTTCGAGGATAGATCGACTCTAGCATATGCAAGTGCTATTGACCTAGCTGGGCTAATTGATCTAGACTTATGCCAGCCATCACTTGCGCTCAAGCCGTTTAAAGAAGCTCTAGAACTTCGTAAGAAGCAACTTGGGCCAGACGATCCGTTCATTGCTTTTAGTCTGAATAATTTGGCACTTGCGTACACTGAGATGGGAAACCTAGAGGAAGCATATTCTACGCACCAGCAAGCTATAGAAATCAGGCTCCGTACTAACAGCGATAGAATCGGTAACTCATACAGCAATATGGCCAGCTTACTGTTACGAATGGGCAAGCCAGATGAGGCCGAAGAGATGCTTGGGAGGTGTCCCTCTTTAAAAGACTTCACAGACGAGACTTTCCTGAATACGGGTAACCCACGCTTCTCTGGTGATATGGTGCTCCTGTCCCGTATTCGACTTAGACAAGGGCGCATAGACGACGGTCTGCGACTAGCATCTAAAGCGCTCGCGTTTCGTCAAAAGCTTTTAGGCAATCGACTAAAGACCTGTGATTCCTTATACGATGTAGCATCTATCTTGCACCTATAAGGGCATTCTGCCTCAGCCATATAAGTCAAATCTTCATCTCCATTTCCAAGCTTGGGCGCGTTCGTCAGCTAATTTCGTCGAAGCGAGTTTCTGAGGCAACTAGTAGACATTTCGGAGTCTTTGAACGAAGGTAAGGGTCAACTTGCTCGGGCTCTGTATAAATTGTCAGTCTTATACGCAGAAAAGGGTGCGTTGTCAGAGAGCCAGGCTTGTAAAGAACGGGCTTTGGAAATTAAGGGACATTTGCGACCGGAAGACAGGGAGCAACCTTTCGAAGAGGAATATTTTTCTTAACTAACGCTATGGATGTTATGGTAATCTGAGGTTCGGAGGTGCTATAGTATAAAATCAAATATACAACCCCACCATACAGAAACCTTGGGAGTATTGCCAATGCCATAATAAATCAGCGTGGAAACATGGGTGAATTTAGGGAAAGAGATATGTAATCGCTGAGGGCTTGATTATTATAGAGCGACATACCCCTATTTTTGTTTGGATCGCACAGATCAGGTTTTCTTTCGACTGAGAAAAATAAACATAAAAAGCGAGAACTACGGTCTTCCATAATTAACTTTGTATGCTAACTCAGGTATATTAATGAGCATACATAAAGACTATCGAATTCCATTGTCCGGAAAGGAAGATCCTAAGACCTGGTATCGAGATACTTCCCCACGGTTGGGGTATTATACTAATTTCCAGAAGCCGTCCTTGATTTCAATCTTGATCTCCCTATCCTCATCTATACTACGCCGACCGGCCTCTAGGATAGCTGTCGTCGCGATTGTGTTGTTCAGCGTTGGAAGTCCTCTCGCATCCAGATCAGCGGGCTTGAGTGCCCCTGAGTTCACCGCTCGACATCCATCTACAAACTTCTCGAAGGAGATATAACCGTATCCGGTCTGGCCTCCGAAGTTACCCTCTTCGTCGGGTGCGTATTTCATATAGAATGGGTTGTACCACATAAGCTGACCTGCACTATCGTCCGCAACGTCGTACCCACGCTTAGCCTGATTAATACGAATCTCGCCACTTGATCCCATGTAGTGGAAGTACTGGTTAGAGTGCACGCCGGCTTTCTGCGGTGCAGTCCACGATGCCGTATAAACTCCTGTGGCAACTTTGCTTGTGTCGCCTTGTTTCTGCCAGGTAACCATAACCGTGATGGTGTCCTCGGTAGCCTCATTGCATCCAAGACTGGTGGCAATACCTTTCGCAGCTGAGGCTGTGACCTTTATTGGAACAAACCCGAGTTGTGAAACCATCGAGTCGCAAATATCTATGTGGTGGCTGTTAAGATAGTACGAAATATCAGAGTCGACACCGGCCCACGCCTTGAAGGTTTCCAGTTGAGACTTTGGTTGCGACATGTAACTATAAAAATAGTTGAATTCGCCGAGCTTCTGCGCCTTGAATCTAGCGTCTGAGTATGCTGGATCAAATCGCTTATGATGTTCGATGTAAACATATACATTATGCTTCTTGGCGGCCTCTATCAGGCCTTGGTGGTGTTCTAATGTCTTCACAGCAGGCTTGGTTATCAGGACATGTATTCCGCGCTCAATTGCGTATAGAGCGATTGGATAGTGCGTCGTATCAGGAGTGAATATAGTAATGGCATCACCTGGTTTCAAGGCATCAATAGCAGCCTTGTAAGCATCGGGGTCCTTGACGTCGTTCTCCGGATAGGAGTCGAAGGAGCAGTCCAAGCTATTGTAGATTTTTGAGATATTAGTATCGAGATGTTGTCCTACTCATATTAGTGTCTATTCAACTTGTTGATAGCCTCTTTACACTCAGCCTAGGATTAAGAGGTGAGCTCACTGATAGCTGGGAATTTGGTCCCGTTTGTTCCCACCATGCTCAGTTTAGCCACCTTTCCCCTCCTTCGGAGATCAAATAGAGTCAAGCCGACGACTCCTACCTTCTTATCCGACCCTGAAGCACCACCACCGACAAACCCAGTAGTATATTCGCCTGTTCCGACCTTAGGGCACGTCAGTTTCGAGCAACGATCTGCTAAGCATATGCCATAGTGATACGCACCATCAACACATTTAGTGGCGAGGGGGAATCTGTCGGTACAATTGCCGACTTGATTGCTTCTGCTGCCATTTTGATGGGTTGTCCTGCAGGTCAAAAGCGGTTGGACAAAGGTAGTTGTGAGATAACAGCCCGGAAATCCAAGAGGAACCTTGGGAGAGCCGAATAAAATAAGAAGACAGATCAAGATGAAAAGAGACCGATTCTTGTATAATTTACGTCTAGGTAGTCTTATAAACTTAGGTTCATGTAACTACCTCCTGTTTCGGTATCTCAGTTACGAATGTCTTGTTAAGCTTAAGCTACCTAGATACCATACCTACCCCGGCCTAAAGAGAAACTACCTATAGACGGAATAATTGAGGGGCAGTTGGAGAAATAAATCTTCAGGGTCCGACGTAGTGTGTATGTAACCGTTCAAGATGTATCGATGAGCATAAATAAGAGGAGTAAGCCGTCATCGTAGGGTGTCAATTACGTCTCTTTACTAGAACTTGAGAAGGAAGTAAACTATTATTTATAGTCTACCATTTAAGTAGTTCGTTGTGTATACATAGTTGGATAAACTAAGTGTGCTCATCATGGTAAATAAATGAGGTATGAAGTAGATGTGCGCGGTCAACATTAGTACATTAGTACTGCTAAGAGACCTTTTAACCTTCTTGGATATAATACATGTACTTTACTTACATAGAGGTACCCCGCCCCCACTCGCTTGGCGACACGAGCAAGAGCCCCGCCTCCCCCACTAAACATTTGCCCACGGCCTAGGTACCTACCTGAAATTTGATTGCCCCGCGTTTGGTGGGGCAACTTCTCTTCAAGACAGAAGCCCAGTGAGCGTCGGTCCATCATTGGCAGATTCAGCGAAGTACCTAGGTACCTCCTAGGTAGGTATCATGCCCGTCCTACCAAATTTATCCTCTTTTCAAATCCAAAAATTTCAAACGTCGAGATAACAATGCGGAACTACCTAACATCAAGCATTATTAATCCGGTTAAATAAAATAGACCGCATTTCTTAAAAAGCAAGAGAAAAGGACGAAGGTATATAACTATACAAAAATATTACCTGGGTACCTAGGAGCTGTTGGGTCCATAAGGTACGCAGAGTCACATCCTCACATCCTTACACCGTTACATCACACAAAGATCACCAAAAACAGCAAACGTGGATTCTGGAATATTGCTCGAAGGTGGGAGAGACAGAAGCTTTCTACATAGCTTTAGTTCTAGCCTTAGTTGGTCTTGGCTACATCAAAGCGTCTTGCTATCTCTTCACTGGAGGAAAAACTACTAATATGATTATTCCGTCGTATCTATACCACATTCAGCCTGGCCTGCAGAAGACGCCAAATCGAGTACATGTAGGTGGCTACCCCAGGAAGTCCAGAGAATGGAAATCAGCAGTTTTACATACATTTGAACTGCTTGTTCATCCAGCAGGTCGACGGCTATCGCTGTCACCCTCCAACCTGAGGTGCCACCTACTTCATACTACATACTACATGCTGGTAAGATCAGTGGCGTTTAGTCCGAGGAGACCATCCAACGGCCTATTCACTTACACTAGGTACACATACCTTAATACCTACCCTGTACGAAGTACCAATTACCCATCTCAGGAACCTATACAACCCTACCTACCCATGTCCTGGATCTGGAGTCGACTTCGTGTGCTCCACAATGCGGCAACCCTTCTTTCTCCCTTCTCCCTTCTCCCTTCTCCCTAACCTAGGGCGAGCTACTTCACATATCGACTAAGCCCCCCGCAAAGGTTACCCTCCAACAATCCCTCGGTTCTGCCAAGTGGACGGCATACCTCGACCCATCTTCTATCTGTTGTCTGTTGTCCTCTCCAAAATCTCGAAGCTCCCTCCCGGGGCTTTCCTTTGGAGGGTCACAAGACGAGTTGGCCAGCACAAATGACGTCTTCGTCAACTATGTCAACTCTCAAGCACAACCGCGATCACCTCGACAACTCATCATCCGTCATATCTCCCTTTTCGGTTTCGGTTTTGATCTATTCTTCATTCTTTAAAGCCGCGTAAGACACGGCTTTCTCGGCTCTTCTAGTTACGTCTAATCATGTGCTTTGGTGACGACAATGCCGCTCATCAACCATCCCTCAATTTTTACCGGGTCCTGATCGACCCTACTGCAGATCCTCTCGATTCCCATCAGCCCAGTTTCTAATCCAATTTGGACATGTTGCTTAGGTTTAGCCAATCATAGCATGGCTATAAATGCCACTGCAGCTAATCTCGCACAACATGCAGTTACCTAGCTGTCTCTTAACTTATTCTTTGTATGAGCAGCTGCCGAATAGGGCGCAATCTCTCTTCAAGGGAGCATTCAACCGTCTCTAGTTCCTTGCCTTTTCCCCCAAGTTCCCAATTGCACTTTTGTGAGCCATGCGGCCGAAATTCGTTGGGTAGCTTCATAACAGCCCGACGATTTTATGTGCGGAACGGTATAATTCATGGCTGTGGATTATATGCATGGCTCCCATGATCTATTACGATATATTACCTTTGATATAACCCCGAGGCGCGTATGACCCATCTGTCCTAGGGCCGTTGAAGAATTCGGCTCATCCACAATCCACTTTGTGGCTTTTCGATCCCATAGACATGGGCTCTTTTACTACTCGGTACCAGTTCGTTTCCATTAGCTCCTTTTTCTAAGGGGCATCTCGGGTCCAAGAGGCAGCCAGTGTCGCCTTCTTCGGACCAATGTCGTTGCGAGCAAAATAGTAGGAGCTAGTAAGACGTTGCTGACCCACACCCTACAAGGTATTAATTGCATGCAACTTAGAGGATAGAAGCCATTATGTTATGAGAAGAAGAAAAAAGAGAGCATTCCGTTGCCGTCCGTCGAGTATTGTTCTTCGAATGTTATAAATATAGCTACGCGTCCCCTTTTCTTTGCCGTTGTTTTTCTTTTTTCGGCGCCCCTTTTCGTGGTTATCCTCCCTTCTTCCCTCTCTCCAAGCTATCTATACTCGGTATATATCGGTCCGTAAATCTAGTAGCAATATTATCATTACTCTTGTTTCTGTCTTTTGCCATTCGATCCTAAAACATGACTGCCTCCAACAGCGCCGAGGTCAATGGTCACACGACCACGAGACGACCACTACCATGTGGTATCTATGCTCCCACTATGACCTTTTTCGATCCCGAGACCGAAGAGCTCGACATCCCTACTATCAAAAAGCATGCCGAGCGTTTGGTTAGAGATGGACTAGCTGGCTTGGTCACTATGGGTTCCAACGGGGAAGCTATTCACTGCACACGCGATGAAAAGGTAGCCGTGACACGTGCCACCAGAGAGGCTCTGGATGCCGCGGGTTTCACTACAACGCCAATAATCGTCGGAGCTACGGAGGGTAGCGTAAAGGGGACTATCGAACTCTGCAAGGAATCTGCAGCAGCTGGCGGAGATTACGTATTGATACTACCCCCAAGCTACTTTCGTGCGCAAATGGACGAGGAGGCTATAGTCGGTTATTTTACCGCTGTAGCAGACGGAAGTCCATTACCAATTGTCTTATACAACTACCCCGGCGCAGTTGCCGGTATCGACATGGACTCGGATCTCCTCATCAAGCTTGCCGAACATCCCAATATCATTGGAACAAAGTTCACATGCGGCAGCACCGGCAAACTTACTCGTGTAGCACTGGCCACCAACGCAAAGACCCCTACCTCAGAAGGTAGTGGATATATGGCGTTCGGTGGCATATGCGACTTCACAGTCCAGACATTGGTATCAGGAGGAAGCGGAATCATTGCAGGCGGCGCAAATGTCATGCCCAAGCTTTGCGTCAAGGTATGGAATCTATATGCCGAGGGAAAAATAGACGAGGCCATTGCGTTGCAGAAAGTACTCTCACGGGGTGACTGGTTCTTGACCAAGGCGGCGATCGCAGGCACAAAGCAAGCGATTCAGTCCTATTTCGGTTACGGCGGCTACCCCCGGCGTCCGCTCAAGCGTCTCGAAAAGGCCAAAATCGAGTCCATAGCGGAGGGAATAAGGGAAGCGATGGAAGTCGAAAAGTCACTGTAATGGCAGGAGACGGGTTACCGGGATCTTGGTCTGAAACCCGCAGGAACTGGCTTTAAGCCGTCAATATTAGCCGCGTGGCCGTTGATCCCCTATTCTTGGAAAGTGCGGGGTTTGAATCCCGGCATGACGGATGAGGCTCTTGGAGGGTGGAAAACCCTTGAATTCCCAATTCTCTCTCGGCCGACTAGGCCGCTGACCACTGACCACTGACCACTGACCACTGACGTAGGTGTGATTACACGTACGCATACATGAAAAACACATGATACGTTTCACAGAACTTAACGTCTCTCTATGCCGCTTTTTCGGACATTGATCAGAGCCCTGGGAACGTTCTTTAGTCCTAACGATCCTCTGTTTCTGATGAAGAACCACTGGTTCCCTCCATGTTTACTAGGTATTTAGCAACCGCACCCTATCACCAAACGGGGAGGAGGAAAGCAGCTGGTCACCACCAGCTGATAAATCCTACTCTTGTCCTGCTACTACTAGCTTCAAGTCGGTCTTGCTGGCCGCAGGGCCAAGCGAGACGTCTCTTCTATGTCTTTATTAGCATAGCAAATACAATATCAAACATATTATACCGTCATCATAGCGAGCGTCTTCGCCGAGGAGACAGGGTAAACATAGATCTACCGTATATGCGACCAACTCTGGGGAGCAACCGTTTGGAAGCGGGAAGCGGGAAGCGAAAAGCTCACATGCCACATTTTCCATTTCCCATTTCCCATTTCCCATGGAACTTTGTAAATACCGCCTAGTACCTATGTACGTATTAGCCTCGGGAGGGCGTAATATACGTAGCATCTTGCAACTCTGGCTAGGACGTATAGCATGTGCGCACGTATCACATATATTATTCGAAGGAGTGACGTATCACACCCCCTAGCCTAAGCTTTTATTTTCCCGGGGTCCCATCCCTTCATGCGTCTAGGGTCCTAAGGGTCCTCGGGGCAATGAGGAGGAGCTAAGGTTGCATGTATTTTGGGCACCACGCGCGATATACCTCGCGGCGATCCGTAAGGCATTAATCCCTGGAACGTCACATACCCCACGGGGGTTGTTGTTTTCCCACAATAGGTACCGGGGCCCCTCCCCTCACCTGCGCTCCCCGCGTTGCCAGCCTGTCCAGGCGTACATGTACCTTCTTTCGCGGCTCGGTCCGACCCCCTTCGTCTAGATAAGGTCGGTCACCTGCCCCTATGTACCTATCTTCTTCTTGGCGGCGACGGCGGCAACGAAATAAAATAATAATAGCCCTCCCCTCAATATCATAATGCTGAGGGTGCTACACGCGCGAAGCTCTAGTAATACGTACGCGACCTTTTCTCCAAATCCTAGGTCGGGAGCACATATTTTCTCCCTTCTCCCCTCCTCCAAACCCCACACGTGCAAGCGAGATAAGCTAATCATGATGTACGTCTTAAACTTATTCAGCCTCTCCCAAAATATGGTGTGTAGGTAGGTTCGACGTATCATGCGGGATGTACCAATATTATCCGTCCCTTAGTCTCTCGCTTCGTGCCGGACCTTACACACATGTACACCTACCTCCACGCACGAGCCCAGGGACGAGGGAAACACAAACCCCTTCAGTGCCATCATCCCACGCGTCTTGTCGTCATAGTCGTCCCACGTGTTTCTTTTCAGGTTGTCCTATTGATATTTTCCTCTTTCCTTCATATCCCGCGCCGTCCTATCATACCTTGAATTTCCTCGGATCCAGCTCAGCAATATCAGCACTCCTAGCCTCTCCGTCAAAAATAAACTCGCTCATGAGCTTGCCTGTTGCCGGACCGTTCTGAATTCCCCAGCAGGTATGACCCGACGCTATCCATAGCCGGTGGACCGAGGTACTTCCAATAAGCGGCGTGCTCTCCTTGCCAAAACGCATGTGCCGCGGGAGGTAACAGGCTTGTTTTGCAGCGATAGACGCAGAACCTAGCAAGGGACTTACAGTACCAATATACGATATAAGATCGTCGCACTGTGATTCATCGCATTCGACCTGGTCGGCGGTAGCCGGCAACGGTATTATCGAGTCCGGCTCGCCGCATGCGTATACCTCTCCGCCCGGTCGCGCGTAGATCTCGGGGTCCACGTTGCCCTTGTGCTTCCGCTTCTCACCCCGCGCCGCTCTGTGCGCCGGTACCCAGTCGTTCGGCAGCGAGATATCGGTGAAGACAGCGTATGGGCTGACATCCGCCGCGAACACGACGCTATGTGCTCTTAGACCCTCTACTTTAGTCTTTGGCCAAAGACGACCCGTCCACGGACCCGCGGCCAATATGACATCTGTCACACCTTCCAATGTCCGCGTCTCGCCCGTAGCACGATCTAGGTATTCAACATTCGAGACAGCCATCTCGGACTTATTCAGACCGATGCTCGTAACCATACTGTTAACGCGTATTTCGGCCCCATGCTCATGCGCCAAGGTTGCCATCGATGTCGTGAATTGGTAAGGGTGCACCTGAGCCGTCTCAGTGAAACCCGGCAGTCCCATCTCGGCGTATTCGCGCACCAAACTAGGATTAATCCAGTCAAGATCTTTAGGTAGAATAGAGTTGTGGAGTAAAGAGGCTGCCTTCTCGTCCTGCTTGGGTAACTTTTGCCATTCTACCTGGGTATCCGCTATAAGATCGTCTTGTTCGTCTTGCTGTTTGATGACGCCGCGACTGGTCCTTTTCCTCGTCTTGGTGGAGCCGTCCGGAGGCTTCTTGTTCCCAACCCTCGCCGTGAGTTGTCCACATCCGAGTCGCCTATATCCCCATCTCTCGGATCCGCCGTGCTCGGCTGCGAGCTCGGCGTGAAGGTGATAGGAAAGTGGGACTAGACATGCTGGGTAAGCCCAAAGACCAAGTAGACCGCCAGCCTTCCCAGATGCTGCAGATGCTATTGATGTGGCCTCGAGAAGAGTAATGTGATGAATCGAAGGGATATAGGAAGGATGTCGGGTTAGATAGTAGGCTGTCGTCGTGCCAATAACGCCACCACCTTAGAGATCTGAATTAGTCATTAGGTACTACCATATGCAGTAGTAGTGCGCCTCTCCAATGTTGATCACGAACCAATCAAGCAAGGATGTTTGCGTGTGCAATGTGTAGTGTGTGTATTGAAGGGTGCAAACCCAGGGGCACGGATACAAACCCGAAACTGTAGAAAAGTATCCGAGCAGAGTGAGCAGGGTGAGACAGACTCACCTATGATCACGACATGTCGCGGTTGAGGTATACGAGTGTCCATAATAGATAATAGTAAGGTATTTAACACGGCCAAGCCAATAGTCATTCGAGGACTAGGACAGCTGATGAAAGCTGGAATTAGACTTTCCTAAGTGACCAGGATTTACATGCTAAGTAGGGCCACTATATGGGTAACTATATGTAGAATATGTAGAGGATAATACTGTTACCCTCGAATAAACTCGCAGCCTGTGGACTGCAGACTGACTGTGGACTGTGGACGTGGAGCTTCTTCGAATCTACCCGTCGATTTGCAGCGGCTGCTACCCGGGTTCTAATAGACGCAGCACGTAGTATATGCAATACATTCGACTAACGAGTATCAATTCATTAACTTTTAATAGGTAGAGGTTTGATAGACAAGGTGGCTTGACGGAAGAGTGGTTTAATTCTCTAGCGACGGGAAACACGGGGAAAACGGGAAACATATGTTGTTAATGAATAGTTTAATGAATAGTTAATAGTTAATGTTCATGATAGAATGTAGCTTAGAATTAAGACGACATTGGACAATCGCTCCTTACTGATCAGGACGCAGATAAGGTTATAGTACCTAAGTACCTAAAGTGGAGTGGATGGACCTGATGAGACTACCGGGAAAACAGCAGCTCCGGAATACGAGGCCCAAGCTCCTAGAAGCTCTCAATTCTATATTTGATTGGCCCCGCAAGCTTGTAAGACCCGCCCGCATTAACCCGCATTGACTTCCTGCCGAGGCTCCAAACTGTAATTGTTACGTCGATATGTTGCACAAGCTTTTATCATCGTCAGGAACCACTTTCAAAAAAAGAAAAGCCGAGGGGTTAAAAAGTCACTAGGTTAGCTCAACAGTTGTTCTTTACTAGCAAAACGAGAGAAATGAACAACTTAACCTAGGTACAATAATTAAACCAAAAACAAAATAACAGGTAACTAACCAACCTAACCTAGAGTATTCATGAGAGTCATTATTATAAGGAACTGGTTTCCAATTCATCATCCAACATTTAGTAATCTTATCTGCAAAGTGACCTCATCACCATCATCTGGACTACACGCACAGAGAAGAGCTTTGTCATCTATCGTCCAATTAGTGAACCTCGGATACCCCGCCAACGAAGCTACTATCACGAGTCGCGCCATCTTAACTTCGGCTTCGTCGGCCAATATCCCGCAACTACAGAAAACCCAAATTCCCAAAGTCAACATCAGCTCAATCACCACAATGGCTTCCGCTACGACAATCTACGACTTCAAGGTCAAAGATAGTGCGTAACTCGTAGATTACAACTTACAACTTAACGAGAATATAAGTTAACCATTCTTACTTTATCCCAACAGAGAAGGGTGCCGAACTGCCCCTAGCCGACTACAAGGGCAAAGTTGTCCTAATCGTCAACACGGCGTCCAAGTGTGGCTTCACTCCGCAGTACGCCGGGCTCGAGAAGCTATACAAGGATATCACTGCGAAGCACCCAGATGACTTCACCATCCTCGGCTTCCCCTGCAACCAGTTTGGCGGCCAGGAGCCCGGCACCGACGACGACATCCAGAGCTTCTGCCAGATCAACTACGGTGTCACCTTTCCCATCCTAGGCAAGACGGACGTGAACGGCGACAAGGCCGAGCCGTTGTTCGAGTGGATGAAGGCCGAGAAACCCGGCCTCCTCGGCATGAAGCGGGTCAAGTGGAACTTTGAGAAGTTCTTGATCGGCAGGGATGGCAAGGTCAAGGAGAGGTGGGCTAGTACCACGAAGCCCGAGAGCTTGGAGGCGCCCATCCTGGCGGAGCTCGAGAAGAAGGCGTAAGTCTTTGCTTGTGCTTGGAAATCTACCTTTCCAGCGTCTTATGGCCGTTCTATATGTATGTACGTGTTGACGATTCGCCCTTAGAGTGGCTATGATATAATAACATGAGGCGATCTCCTCTTTCCGGGAAAAACATGAACGGATTAGATTTACTTACAAGTGACAATTCTATTGTTCTCGTTTTATCAAGCGCATAATAGTAGAAACGCATACGTCTGGAAGGTGGTTTTTACGAAATCCGGTGTCTTAGCAACAGCTTCTCCATAGAATAATAGAACTCGAACGTTCCATATTACCCGAGACTTTCGTATTAGTCACAAGCCAACGTTTCTCGTTCCAAGTATTAGATCCCTGGGCAAATAGGTACATATATATGAAACTATTTCCGGTCGTTAAACGACTTAAATCAGGCCGGTTCATAAGTCTGCATTTGCTTGAAGTAATTCTACCTGCCCAATCCCGTGTCATCTACAAGTGATTTTATGCTACCGCCTCTCGGCCACACGCTCAAAACACTCTGGTGATTTCATGTTGTTATACTAGAGAGTAACGGCAAAATTAATATCTGTGATTGTTCGTAAGTCCAGATGTATATTTTACATTCGTACCAACATTGAACCAAGATCCATGATGGTTAGTGAACACAATTTAAATAAAATATGTTGATAAGTATAATTTCTAATAACATACCATATAATTATTATAAATTAGCCTACCGGATTACAGAAATATCATACCTTGGATACTTAATTCCATATTCACTCTAGCAGATATACAGCCAATCAATATTAGCCCTGGAGGTACACCTTGCTTGTATGAGTTACAAGCGAAGCATGCATCTAAACTTTTGATTGTTTCTACAAGCTTATTAGGTAGGTACCTGGATACTTATGGCCTGGGTTACGCTTGTTGCTAAGTATTGCAAACAAGCTGTTGTCGAGAAGTACATCCTGCTTCCCGGTTGCTAGGCATCCGTGATAGACATAAGTAAGGTTTTGACAACCCGTTCTTCCATCTCTTATCAGTTGCTGCGAAACCAAATGGCCGTGGTGCAACAGTCATTCTGAGATAGAGCCAGAAATAATTCCCCGAGGAGTTTTTCGTAGGGCTTGGGTTCGATTCACTCGCAGGGCGGCAGGCAGGCCAACTGTTCAGGTCAAATGCGATATATTGATTCCCAAGTTCCGATCTTTTTTGTCTTTCTTTTCCATTGTCTTTTACATCTTATTTTGCTATTTCGGGGGTCCCCCCTTTTCTTCTCTCCCTCTTTTCATCATTGTTACTTCATTTCTTTCCTTGAATTCTATGTTGCAAAGTAGATAATGGCTATTCCAACTTGAATTTATGAATATCTTTTACCTTAGTTATCTGTACTAATTTCAAGCATGGCCAGACAATCGCCAATTGGGACATACAATATAACATACATATCTGTTAATCCTGATTAGTTATTACTTGTGCTTCTACGAAAAGGCTATCTTATATAGGCTGATAACGTATGAATTTTAGTAGACACATCCAAAAATGAATTTGCAGAATTGTTAAGTAAGATGTTGTCCAGAAAAATGAGTGAATAACGATAAGCATATTATATTTCGTAACCTTTGTAACTAATGAGCTTCTTCGGATACACGGTTTGGGAAAACAGGATTTGGCACAACTCCAGGTCTACCATCCCAATTTCAACAACCCAAGTAGAATGAGTACCTCGTCTTATTGATAATTACTTTAGCACGACACGATAATAGTGTGTTTAAATACTTAGCATCATAGCATTTATATTCGTAAACTGGTTGTTTCGCTACAATCAACAAACTTAAGAAGCCATGAGCCTTGGTTAAATAGGTATTCAGCTGATATCTGAGACGAATAGATACCTAATATTCAAGGAACTATAGTCCTCGACTGCCTTTTCTTTTTGTCACTCAAGAAAGTTTTATTGCCTATGGCATCGTCCTCACTCCCGACTGTCGTTGTCATGAGCGGCTAACTACACTTCTCGAAAATGTCACTTCTATCGGATAATAGCAAGATACAGGATTCGGCGGCTCTGATATCCTAGTAATCTCCTAATTAATGTCAGGGCTACAGTTATCGCTGTGATATATTTCATCATAAATAGGTCTATGCTGGGCACGATACACTGCTTGGTTGCTCTGTTTGGGGGTTCTACAAATTGAAGACTATCATGTCAGTCAAGAGGTTAGGGTTAGGAAAGCAAGGAAGTATAAGATCTATCTTATCGGATTTGTTCAATTAGATGTATCAAAATTGCGTGATGACTTCTTTCCAAGTGCTTTCGTTATCCCGTGGTAGACATATCATAATGGTATTGGCATTCAGTATAGGAACATCAATGTTTCGAGAGTAATTAGACCTAGCAAAGCTTTTGAGCTAAGAGAATACGAGTTAACTGAGACGGATGCTCGGGGACAAGGTACCACACCTTGTCGAAACTCAATTGACTATATTCCTTGATGCTACTCTAACAGCAATACGAGGCCATATCCTTTCCTCCTCACAGCCATCACGCGCAGCCTGTTTCCAGGAGAGTCGCCAACAAAGAGAGAGGGAAAGCTACAACTACAGTAACAGAAACATCGTCGTCGTCACCAACTTCTACCTCTCGGACTTAGGTGGGCGCGAAGAACATTTGACTGCGCACGAGCCGCAGTTCCACAGGCGCTCGGGCAATACTAACGAAGCTCCAGAAAAAACAGGCCCGGCAAAGTCCTCCTCCCCCGCCGCGACGATGACAAGGGATCTGGCAAAAGTACGTAAACAAATGCATTGTAAATCCATTTCTCCTCGTGCACGCCATCCCTCCCCTGCAGAAAACCACGAGGGAGAAAACAACAAAAGAACATGGCATCGTGGTCTGCGCAGTACAGAGCTATTTTGGGAGTCTTGGCCATGCGACAGGACGATCCACGGGTTGCACTGAGCGGTGGACCATATTTGAAACCTCTAGAGTGAGCCTCAATTCATCCTTCGAGCCTCCCAACCCCAACCCATCAGCCGGCGTCAGCACTGGCGAAAGGGGAAAAGCAGGCAAGACAAAAATGGAAATGGAGCCAGCGCCATGTAATTTCGAGCCGCCGTTGAGATGCTTTCTCGCTAGATCCTGCAGGTCTGTCCGCCGGTACGAGGGAAAAGGAAAAAAAAAAGATCACGGTGTGGTTCGGTCATCCATCCATCGTCGTCGTTGTCCAGGTGGAGTCTCTTTTGGCGAAATGTTCCAGGGGGTTGAAGCGGCCGCAGGAGAAAAAAAAAACATACGGTGCCATTCCCCTTCCCCGATCCAAATCTTGCTTTTTGATCCTATCCGGGCTTTTCTCCGCCTGTTTTAGACTTTGTGCACGTATCGGTAACACGACAGTTGATCTGCACGAGCACGCGCATCCGCATCATGAGTCCCCAGAATTTTCGAGCAAGTCAGGACCGCAAAGAAACAGACATGAGGGATGATGCCGTATTCCCGTTTGTTGGCTCGTCGAGAGTGCCAAGACCTTAGTGGTCTTATATATTATTTCACGTTATTATTATTCCCCTAAAGCCTGTATGGCCGCGGCACGTCTGAAGGATCAATAAGCAGAGGATGGCGAAAACAACTTTGAAGGATGAGGTACTGCGCCGCTCTTATTGGTGGGGTTTCGCGATGCCGTATCTCCATCTCTTTTAGGTACCTAAGCTGTTTTCAGTCAACAGTGCCGTATTAGTACATGGTGGACATATGGGCTCCATCGTCTTAGGCAATGCGGCGTGGTAGGAATTGACTTGGGTCAAATTCGGCGAGGGAAGTGGAGATAATAAGAGACCACCCTCGATAATAACAGAGAACTCCAGTTATTTGAAAGTATATCGATCCTACGGCTATTGTTTAGATAAGCTCCGGCATACAGAAACGTGGCAGCTGTCTGTGCTATGCTGTCGAACATCGAGCCCCTCATTGTGATGTCAACACGCCTTCACCAAAAAGTGCCCCTTTTACGGCGGGTAAGCTTATGGCGCATAACAGACACGAAGATTACAGACGCCATCGTGTGGTCTAGATGAGTTGGTGCCTCCTAAATTAAGTTAAGCTAACTTCCTCATCCTCATCCTCTTTATAGAGCGGTTGGCTTACAAGCTACTAAGATTCGAGTGTGTTGGTAGTATGAGTCGGCAACTACATATTGACAACCCCTGAAAAGGCGTTGCCAAGATATCAACAGAGCCTTTTCCGTCTTGTCCGGTGATGGTTCTAAATATTCGCGATGTTGGATGGGGCGAGGCTGTCAGATGAATCTCCTGGAGGTAGATCTCACGAGAGATGCTCTTCAATAAACCTCTGCTCTCCGAGGCCTGAAACATTGAGAGAGCTGCTTCCCCCAGAAGGAGTGGAATAGCGGTCTCCTCTGTGACTACATAAGATATACAAGCTGGCTAGGATTGAATTCGAGGTACTTCACAAATACTTGTTGAATTAAATGTTGGTTGGTACCTTTCATTCTCCCAATGGTATACGGATCTTGTAGTGAGGATGGACACAGATGATAACTTAATCTCGATTTGGAGTCAGGTAGAATAGCGTCTGTCCCGTCTACTTTGCCCCTAGATCTATGTCTCAGGGCCCCCTTACAACACAACCAGCCTAATGCGTGGCGTCCACTACGGATCTACGCTGGCGTCAGGCCGGCCGTAGAGTTTATCATACCCGGTCCAGATAGCCTCGATGTTAGGGGGTTTTTGCAGATCAGACCCCACGATCCGTTGGGAGGTAGGAGGAAGGCAGCAAGAAATCCACCGAAATGAAGAGACATCATCTGCACTTCAAGCTTGGTCGATATCGTGAGCACGTAAAAGCTGCATCTAGTGGATTATGCCTAGGGATCCCTGTATAGTTCGTTAACTATCGTATCCCGTGGGCTTGAAACATACTTCTCCAGAGGCGTGCTAGATAGATTCTCTGTCAAGTTCTTGAATTTGAATTTCGGGCCCCTCCAAAGCCAGCCTAGTCCCTCCGTACGAGAATGATGATTCTGGTTATTCAAATCCTTAAGCGGTAGTTAGAGACACCTCGGTAGCCACAATCTAGTATACGTTAATTAAACTATGCCAATCTTAATGAGATGCCTTTCCTCGTATGGTCATTGACCAGTGCCCAGGGGCTCGCCCGACAACTCGCTATGTCCGCTAATGTCAGTTTCAAGTCACCGAATAGCAACCGGCCGAGGCAGTAATCGTTGTATTACCCCGGGAACAATATACCGGGCCGAATGGGAGGATAGAGGCATACCTTCTGTATGA